GAGTGGTTTGACACTGGAATAGGCTGCTGAGGAAGGCAGTTGAGTCACCATCCCTGGATGTGTTTAAGAGTCATTTGGATATGGTGCTGGTAGATATGGTTTAGGGTTTAGGGGAGAACTTTGTAGAGTAAGGACGATGGTTGGAGTTGGTGATCTCAAGGGTCTTTTCCAACCTGAATAGTTCTTTGATTCTATTATTATACAAATTTATTTTTTAAATTAAATTTGATATTTATACCCCAAATCATAGAACCATATAATTGTTTATAATAAGATATTTACAAGTTTAGTAATGCTGTTTATGCATAGCAAGCCCTAAATATTTTATATAGAGTATTTATTGCTTGTTTCATGGAATCATAGAATAATAGCATGGATAGGATTGGAAGGGATCTTAAAGATAACTAGATCCAACCCCATGCATTGACTGGGGCACCTCCCACTATACCAGGTTGCCAGAGCCTCATCCAATGTGTCCTTGAACATTTCCAGGGAGGGAGCATCCACAACTTCCCTGTGCACCCTGCTCTAGTGTCTTACAACCCTCACATTAAATAATTTCTTCCTAATGTCTAATCTAAATCTTCCCTCTTCAAGTCTTAATCCATTACACCTTGTACTCTCACTACATGCCCTTCTAAAAAGTCACTCCCCAGTGTTCTTGTAGGCCCCTCGGTATGCTGCTAGGTTGGTCAAGCAAGCCCTCTCTTTCATAAACCCATGCTGGCTGGCCCTGGTCCCCTGGCTGACCTGCACGTGCTGTGTGAGCTCACTCAAGATGAGTCTCCATGATCTTTCCCAGTACTAAGGTCAGGCTGACAGGCCTGTAGTTCCCTGGATCCTCCTTCTGGCCCTTCTTGCAGATGGGCATCACATTAGCCACCCTCTAGTCACCTGGGACCTCCCCTATTGACCAGGATTGTTGATAAATGATGGAGAGGCTTAGCCAGCTCCCCTGCCAGCTCCCTCAGCACTCTCAGGTGGATCCCATCAGGTCCCATAGAGCTGTGTGTGTCCAGGTACAGAAGCAGATCATTAACTGCTTCCACCTGAATTATGGGAGGTGGTTCTGTTCTCTGTCTTTATCTTCCAGCTCAGGAGGCTGAATGCCCTTGGGGTAGCTGGTTTAACTTTTAAAGACGGAGCAAAAGAAGGCATTAACTAGCTCAGCCTTTTCTTCATCCTTGGTTGCAATGTTCCCACCTGCAACAAGTAAGGAATGGAGATCCTCCCCCCGCCCTTTTTTTTCCTTTTTTTTTTTTTTTACTGTTCATGCATTTAGAAAAGCTTTGTTTTGGCTTTCACTGGCCAAGCTGATCTCCAGATGGGCTTTTGCCTTCCTGATTTTTGCTCTGTATGATCCAATGAGATCTCTGTACTCCTGTTTAGTTGCCTGTCCCTTCTTCTAAAGGTTGTACACACTTCTTTTTTCTCCAAGTCCCAACAAAAGCTTCCTGTTCAGCCAGGCTGTCTGCCTTCCCCACCTTTTGATCTTGTCATGTGGGACAGCCTGATCCTGACCCTTAAAGATTTCCTTCTTGAAGAGCATCAGCCTTCCTGGATGCCTTTGCACTTCAGGACTGTCTCTCAAGGGACTTTCTCAACCCATGTCCTGAACAGGCCAAAGTCTGCCCTCTGGAAGTTCAAGGTCGTGGTTTTTCTAACCTCCCTCCTTACATCTCTAAGAAGTGAAAACTTCACCATTTTGTGATTGCTAAGGCCAGGACAGCCTCTTGACTACCACATCTCCCACTAGTCCTTTTCTGTTTGTGAACAGAAGGTCCAGTGAAGCACCTCCCCGCTTGCTTACCAGTTGTGTAAGTTTCACGGTTTGACTCAGGATTGGCAATTAAACCAGTGACAATAATGCTCTCAATCTCCTCCTCCAGGTAGAGAAAGGACAGAGATGATAAAGAGAGGGAGACTTCCTGAACTGAAAACTAAACTAGACAGCTTTAATTAAACCCTAATGATAAAATAAAAAACGTACAATTACATACAAATGTGTTCAGGAATGTGCAAACCCCTCTTGCCTCTCCCACCCCCAGCAACTCCCACAGCATCTCCTGAGCTGTGAACAGTTCTGAAATGTCCTGGAGCTGCTGGAGAGAGCGGCAGAGCAGACAGAAGCTGAGAGGAGAGTGATGAGGGTCAGGAGTGCATGGGTCTGGGGACCAATGGAAAAAGGAAAATGGACCAATGGTAAAAGGAAATTCTCTAAAGGAAAAAAAAATCAGTAAAAATAAAATAGGCTTCATCATGTGCCAGGCCAGGACAGTCAGGAAGTTATCATCCACACATTCAAGGAACCTCCTAGTGTGTTTGCTGTGTTTTATTTCCAGCAGACGTCTGGGGGGTTGCAATCCCCAAATAGGACAAGGGCTGGCGATTGTGAGACTTCAGACAGCTGCTTACAGAATACTTCATCTGCCTCCTCATCCTGGTTGGGTGGTCTGTAACATACTGTCAACAGAATATCTGCCTTATTTGCCTTCTGCTTCATCTGTAACCATAAACATTCAACTTTATCATCACTATAATGAAGCTCTATATAATCAAAACACTACCTAATGAATAGAGCCACATCACCGCCTCTCCTTCATTGGCTATCCCTTCTGACAAGCTTATAGCCATTCGTTGCAGCATTCCAGTCATGACAGTCATCCCACCATTATGGCAACTACCTCATAGCTGTCCTGCTGGCTTCCAGCTCCTTCTCATTGCACTTGAGCTGGGCTATTGATTTCAGGCCCATCCTCGGCATTTCAACCATGGGCTCATCTCTGGTAGACCTGGTTTTATCCGTGTTCCCCTCTTAGTCTGGTTTAAAGCCCTGATAACTCATGCCCTAATATCCTTTTCCCCATGTGAGATAGGGTTTTTCCATCCATTACAAACATGCACGTTGTCCTGTAAATCACACCATAGTCAAAAAACCCAGAGTCCTACTGGTAGCACCAGGTTTGGAGCCATTGATCTGTTGGGTCTTCTTGTTTACCCATTCAGCATTCCCTGGAACTGGAGGGATAGAGGAGAACACAACTTGTGTTTTATCTCATAGGGCAGGTTCTCTAGCCTTTTGGTAATCTTTGTGGCCCTCTTTTGGACACTCTCCAGTATTTCTGTGTCAGTTTTTTTAATTTTGAAGAGTGGAGATAGACACAGGCATGGTCTGACTGAGTGTATTAGGTTGATTACATCTCTGTCTCTGCTAGCAATGCCCCTATGGGCACAGCCCAGGATGTTACCAAAACAGCATTCTGCTTATGCTTTTGAGCTTGCTGTCCACCGGGAACCCCAACTCCCCCACAGCAAGGCTGCTTCTCAGCCACACATTCTAGCCTGTACTGTGCTCTTTGGTTATTTTGACCCATGTGCACAACTTTGAACGCATTAATCTCCATGCAGTTCTTGCTTGCCCCTTCTTTCAGCCTGCCCAGGTCTCTCTCTGAGATGACTCTCCCTTCTGCCCACATCACCACCCAGTTCAGTCTTATCAGCAAACTTGGTGAGGATGTTTTCAATCCCATCTTCCAAGATATTTGTGAAGATGCTGAACATTGTGGGGCCTGGTATTGATCCCTGGAGGACGCCACTTGTGACATATTATTCATTAAAGCAGGATTACTTTTGAAAGGTCAGTGGCAGAGAGCAATGTAATACTCAGTTTTTCAGCAAAATCTGTCTTTGAAAACTCATATTCTGACGTTTATACTGCTCCCCTCTCCATTGCTATACCTAGCCATTATAGAGGAAGTGATTTTCATGGTCATGTCAAACATAAATTGAAGCAGAGCATCAATATTCTTGGAAGTATTTCAGCAATTAGACTGCAGAAGTTGACCATTGCATTACTGGTGTTAGATTCCTGCACAGTAATACACTATTTCCTAATTTAAAAACTGCAAAATAATTTAACTTACAGGAAAAGGCACATGGGAAAATCCATCAATGTTATTTGATATTTGGATCCAGCTGAAATAAAAATGTAATCTATAAATTCACCAAAACAAACATATCAGCAGGACAGCTTGATATTTTTTGTCTTGTTTTGCCAATCACAGTATTATCTCAGTGGGTTTATGTTCTTTCAACAGTGTTTGTCAGTTGCTGCACTCTTAACACCAAATTAAATTTAAAAATAATAACCTACAGAATTTTTTTTTCAGTATTCTTACATCAATATTTGTTTTTTTTAATCACTTGAGATCAGCAGTACAGCAAACATGCTTCTTGACAAGCCTTCTACTTTCAACAAACCACAAAATAGTTCTTTTAGTTTCAATTTATAAAACTAAATCCATGTACTCAAATCCATACAGACCTTTATTTGTCCAAATTAGCACTATTTTAGGACTTCATGTAAAAAATGGCAGCCTATCAATTTTAAAGTGCCCTCTGTATGACATATGGCTTCCACAATTGAAACGTTCTTTCTTTACATTGAGTGTGAGGTTTACCATTTGAGATTCAAATGCAAGATAAACCTATTCAAATAAGGTTCATCTGAAGAGTTTCTTAATATCTAAAAATAACTTTTACAGTTTTATTTATGAGTTATATTATAAGACAAATTATGATGTAAGAAGATTAAGTGGCAAAATTGTAATTATATTCTAATATGGTTGCAACTGGGATTACTCTTTTATGGAATGAGGGTGTATTTTTCTGATATAGCACTAACCTTTTCCCAAAAGATGTAGAAACTAATCAGAAAAAGTCATTGTTGCTTCAGAATACAAGTCCACAAAGGGATTTATGATTGTGATGGCATTAACTCATGCTTGCATCTGCATACCTACCTATAGACAAACATGCAATCATGAAAGACAAATTGGAGTGTGATGCAATACTGCCCCTAGGACAGTGTTTTTTGAACTATATGCTTAAAAGAAAACTGAAACTGTTTCCAAGATCCCCTCTTAAAAATGTGCTTTTGGGCAGCCTTTTATTGCAACATGAATTAAGTTTGATCTTTTCTGATGTTTTACCCTTCTTAGGTTACTTCCTGACCTTTTTGGAACCAGTAAACAATATCACAGTAGTACAGGGGCAGACAGCAATCCTCCACTGCAAAGTAGCAGGAAATCCACCTCCAAATGTCAGATGGCTAAAAAATGATGCTCCTGTGGTTCAGGAGCCAAGGAGGATCATCATCAGAAAAACAGATTATGGTTCGCGTCTGAGAATTCAGGATCTGGATACTACAGATACAGGATATTATCAGTGTGTGGCTTCAAATGGAATGAAGACGATAACTGCAACTGGAGTGTTGTTTGTAAGGCTCGGTGAGTTCCTGGCTTTTATAATTACTCAGACAGCTATGTAGACTCAGTATTAGTTTTTACAATAGCATAATGAGAATTGAATTAGATATTTTAAGAAGAATTCTTAACATGAAAGGAAATAAATAAAGCCACTGCCCTGGAGCCTCTCCCCCAGTGCAGAACTTACTGGTTGAGCTTGATACCAGTTTACTGGCAGTAAAAGAAAGTAATTCAGATGGAAAAGTCTGTAAATACATAGTGAAGAAAAAAATATAAAGAAGTGCCAGTCTAAAGTATGAAAAGTTGACATTTCATTGCCTGAAGTTTTCACTGCACTGCTGAACTCTGTAAAAGAAACTGAAGAAGAAGTAGTTTTCTATCTGATGTTTATAGTGCTGGGCCCATCCTTGTGAAATACCCTGTCTCTACTGCTATGTGAAGCCTGGCCAAATTCAGCCCTTTGACAGCTGAAGATAGACCACACCTTTCAAAAAGTACTTATATTGCATTTTGGAGACTGAATCATCCAACCTGGAAGGCAAACATTTTGTTAGCTTCGTTCTGAAACAAAAGGAAAAAAAAATAATAGTCTAGAGACAATTTCCTAAAATTTCTTCTCATTTTATGATAAAAATAGTTAAATCCACAGTTTAATTTCTAGTGATTAATTAAATTCTGGGTATTGTCTCCTGTTCCTGCTATGACAAATATTAAGAGCATGGCCTTGCCATAACATAGACTCTTGACAGTAAGGCTCAGGTGCAGCTTATTAAGAGGTAAGGGGTGTATCAAGATAACACAGTGTCTTTTTAAAAGCCTGTGTTTTTATAGTGGGAGATAATCCACTAAAATTGCTGCCTGAGCAGACAGAAAATGCATGGGATTTGGATTTTGTGGCTTTGAAAATAATACATAAACATGTGCAGGAACACAGAGGATTTTGTTTGTATCTTGAGACAAACCTTCCAAAAAGAGACATTTTCCTTTATATTGCTATTTATATTTTTATGCTGTTGTCTTTTAGTAAAACTTGCCAACAATGTTTGTTTGTTTTATGTTTTCAGGTCCAACAAACAGCCCAAATCACAATCTTCAGTAAGTAGTACTTTTTGGAATATTACTTAATGTACTCAGACCAATTTTGTTCTGTAAGAATTTAGTTCATGAACTCAGTAAACACTGCAACCACAGTGTGCTTGTTAAAAATATCTAATTGGATCAAAAACTCACAGAAAATATGAAATTTTTCTGGACAGGGTAGTATTTTGTTACAGTCGGTTTTGGTTTGATCGAATTTTCTGGAGCAATTTCAGCTTGCTTATTTCATAGTTTAGACAAGCAAAATGCCACAAAGTCATGATGTTTGAACAGTAATTGTTTACAGAGCAAGTATGGGCTGGAAAAGTGGTTAAAAATGAATGGGTAGAATGCTTACGTTGCTGTGGTTGTAAATTTACCTATGTATTGTTCTTACTTGAAAAGTCAGATAAAACAAGACTAGAATCCTGTCTTTGAGTAGCTAGGTAAAGACTCTGTTAGTGTAACTTTTACACTTGGTGGTGATTTTTTTTAACTGCCTGGGCTCACATGCTGAACCAGGATGAAAACAGATCAGTTGTGTTTCATATTCATTGCTTTGTGTGTTAGTTTTTAATTATATATTGCTTATTGTATAATTTCTTGAATTAGATTGTGCATTTGGTCAATTAATGGAGAGAGGAGTGAACTTTAAGGTCTTTTTATGTGGTAATGGCAGATAATCAGTGTTAGTGGTGGACTAATTAAAAAAAAGAGTAAAAGCAAATTTTCTGAAAAGCACAGATGCTTTTCAGAAGTACATTACTGATCAGTGGTTTTGATTTCTGAAATCCCAATCTTTTGGGCCTAAGATGACAACAAAGAAACAGCTCCATGGCTGATCACTCAGCTCCTCTGCCTCCACACACAGACAGACACTGGGATGGGAAGGACAAAGCCCAACTAGAAGCTCATGGGCAAAGACAAAGGACAAGGAGGGTTCTTCACCAGTTAAAGTCCTGGGCAAAACAGACCCAACTTGGGGAAAAAAATAATTTAACTTCCCACAAATCAAACACACACAGGACACAGACAACACACAGAGCAGGGCTTGCATATGTTACCCCACCCCTCCCTTCTTCCCAGGCCCAAATAACTTTGTTCCCGGTTTCTCTCCCTCCCTCCCCCCAGCAGCACAGGGGCACAGGGGATGGGGTTTAGAGTCAGTTTACAGGCTGGTGGTTCCTGCTGCTCATTCCTCCTCCTTCCCTGCTTCCCCACAGGGTCCCTCCCATGGGAGAGAGTCCTCCACGAACCTCTCCTTCCTGAGTCCTTCCCACGAGGTCCAGAGCTGTTCCAGCCTGGGCTTCCCACAGAGTCACGGGGGCTTCGGGAACAGCCACCTCCCCTGGCCCGGGGTCTTCCGAAGCTGTGTAATCAGAGTTCACTCACTGGCCACAAAATCCAAGTCCACTCGCCAAGTTCACCCCTCCTGGTTTCCCCAGGGAATGTTCCACCACATTCCTCCATGAGTGCAGGGGGACAGCCTGACATCTCACCATGGGTTGCAGGGAAACTTCTGCTTGGGCACCTTCTTTCCCTTCTCCCTCACCAACCACCAGCATTTTCACCCCAGCATTGCCTTTCCCCTCACCAGCAAAGCTCTTCTTTCTTTCTACCTCCTGACTGACTGCTCGCTCACTCTCACCTGCTGCTCAGGTGTTACAGCAGTTCTTTTGTATGTTAATCACAGAGGTGCATCTGTTGTCCCTCTAATGGGTCCTTGGTGCTTTTGGAGCAGGGGGAGCTTCTCAGCTTCTTACCAGAGCCACTCCTGAGGCCGTTCCCACACGACCAAAAATCCTGCCAAACCAGAACAGGGCATCATCTCACTAGAAGCTCGTGTAAAAAGTCCTGCCCCAGCTTTCCTGTAGGCCCTGCTCAGATGCTGGGAGACCGCTGTAAGGTCTCCCCAGAGCCTTCTTTTCTCTAAGCTGACCAAGCCTAAGTCTCTCAACATGTCTTCACAGGAGAGGTGCTCCAGCCTTCTGATCCTCTTTGTGGCCCTCCTCTGAACTCGCTCCAATAGCTCCGTGTCCTTCCTATTTTGGGGGCTCCAGAACTGGACACAGTATTCACGAGAGCAGAGTAGATGGGGAGAATCATCTCCCTTGACCTGCTGGCCACACTTCTTTTGATGCAGCCCATGGCACAGTTGGCTTTCTGGGCTGTAAGTGCACACTGCTGGCTCATGTTGAGCTTTTAATCAACTAACATCCTCAGGTCCTTCTCCTCAAGGCTGCTCTCAATCCATTCTCTGCCCAACCTGTATTTGTGCTTGGCAGTGCCCCCTCCCAGATGCAGGACCTTGCACTTGGCCTTGTTGAACTTAATGAGGTTGGCATGAGCCCAACTCTTCAGCCTGTCAAGATCCCTCTGGGTGGCCTCCGTTCCCTCCAGTGAATCAACCTCACAAAACAGTTTGGTGTCATCAGTGAACTTGCTGAGGGTGCACTCAGTTACACTGTCCTGTCATCAACAATTATGTTAAACAGCACCAGTCCCAGTGCTGAGCCTTGGAGGATGCCACTTGTCACGTGTATCCATCTGGATATTGAGCCGTTGGATCATAGCTCTTTGAGTGTAACCATCCAGCCAGTTCCTTACCCAATGAGTGGTCCATCCATTGAATCCATATGCTTCCAGTTTTGATACTAGGATGCTGTGACCCAATTGTAGAAGGCCACCAAATTAGTCAGCCATGATTTGCCCTTAGTTAAGCCATGTTGGCTATCACCAATCACACGTTTTTTTTCACGTACTTTAGCAGAGGCTTCAGGAGGTTCTGCTCCATGATCTTGCTGGGCACAGAGTTGAGACTGCCTGGCCTGTAGTTGTCCCAGTCTTCCTTTTTTTCCCTTTTTGAAAATAGGCTTATGTTTCCCCTTTTCCCATCAGTAGGAACTTTGCCAGACTGCCAAGACTTTTCAAATATGATGGACAGAGCCTTTGCGATTTCATCAGTCAGTTCCTTCAGAAGCTGTGGATGAATCTCATCAGGCCCCATGGATTTGTGCAGCTTCAGGTTATTTCGATGGTCATAGACCTGTTCTTCTCCTATAGTTGGGAGATCTTCATTTTCCCAGCGCCTATGTTTGCCTTCTTTAATTTGGATGCTGTGACCAGAGCCCTTGCCAGAGAAGTCTGAGGCAAAGTAGTCATTGAGTATGTCAGCCTTCTCTATGTCCTGCATGACCAGGTTTCCGGTTTCCTTCTGAAATGGACCTACATTTTCTCTCATCTTCCTCTTGTTGCTGACATACCTGTAGAAACTTATCTTATTATTCCTAACATCAATGACTAGATCCAATTCTCACTATGTTTTGGCTTTCCTTACCTGATCCCTTGCTTCTCTAACCACTTGTCTGTATTCATTCCAGGACACCTGGCAGTCTGTAAACCTTATTTTTACATTTAACTGTGTCCAGGAGGTCCTTGTTCATCTGTGTGGGCCTTCTGGCACTCCTGCTTGCCTTCCTCTTTGTTGGGACATGTTGCTCCTGGGCATGGAGGAGGAGGTGATCACTGAACATGGGCCAGCTTTCCTGGGCTCTGCTCCCCTCCAGGGCCTTGTCTTGTGATACCCTAGCAGGCAGATCCTCAAAAAAAACATAGTCTGCTCTCTTGAAATCAAGGGCAGTGAGCTTGCTTTGCTCCTTCCTTGATACCCTAAGGATCCATGTCTTGGTCACAGCAGCCTTGTGTCCCATTAAGTCTTACATCATAAAACAGCCCATCTCAGTTGATGAGAACAAGGTCCAGCATAGCACCTTTTCTCATTTGTTCCTCTACCACTTGGAAAAGGAAGTCGCAATCAATGCACTCCAGGAACTTCCTGGATTGCTGGTGCTTTGCTGTCTTGTCTTTCCATCAGTTTTCAGGGTGGCTGAAGTCCCCCAGGAGGACCAGGGTTTGTGAGTGTAAAACTGCTCCTATCTGCCTGTAGAGGGCCTCATCCACTCAGTCATCCTGGTCTGGTGTCCTGTAGCAGACCTCCACTATGATTTCTTCTGCCCCTGCCTTCCCTTTAATACTGAACCATAAGGTCTTGGTCAGCTCCTCCTCCATCCCCACGTGGAACTCCATGCATTGATGTAGAGGGTGACACCACCTCCTTTTCTCCCCTGCTTGTTCTTCCTGAAGAGCTGTTGCCCATCCAATCCCATGCTTCAGTCATAGGAGTCATTCCACCATGTCTCAGTGATGCCAGTAACATTACAGCCCTGCAGGCATGCACATATCTATAATTTCTCTTCTTTATTCCCCATGTTCTGTGCATTTGCATAGAAGCATTTAGGATGAGGGCACTCTTTGAAGCAGTCTTACTGGCAGGGATTACATTTTGCAGGTCATATGCTTTCTTGCTGGCCTGTGATCCTCCTGCAGGCCCAGGGCATGCATCTGTTACTTGCTCTGTCCTCAAAGTGGTGGCTGTGGGAGGGATTGAGGGTCCCCTCCCTGGGCATCGCTAGTTTAAAGCCCTCCTAACTAAATTGGCCAGACTCTGGCCAAAGATTCTCTCCCCTTCCTCTGTCAAATGAAACCCATCAGCCACCAGGAGGCCAAGTTTCTCAAACTGAGTCCTGTGGTCTAGGTAACTGAAGCCCAGACTATGCACCACTCCTTTAACCATTAGTTGACTTTTCCAATTTGGTTGGCCTTCCCAGCCCTTTGCCTTCGACCGGAAGGATAGATGAGAATGCTACCTGTGCTTCCAAGCCTGTCACCGCTGTTCCCAGTGCTCTGTAGTGTTTCCTTACTATTTTCAGGTTTTCAGATTGCTCCTCACTGTGTCACTGGTGCCCACATTAAACAGCAGAAGCAGGTAATGGTGAGCTGTACAAGTTTGTGTAATCTTTCTGTTAGGTCTTTTGTTTAAAACCCCAGTAAAATGTATACCTCTCTAGTAAGTGGGTCTGGTCTGCAAATGGGTCCCTCAGTACCCCTGGGAAGGGAGTCTCACATGAATAGTACTTGTTGCTGCTTCTTCTGAGCACTTGTTACATGCTGTGTCAAGC